GCCTGGTGACCTTCAGCAAGTCACTGTGTCCTCTCTGAGCCTGTCTCCTCTTACATAACATGAGAGAAGTGACCCCTCACCAGCCTTGTCTCCAGGTCCCTTCCCAAGGCTACTGAGCGGCTCAGCATAAACCAGACAGTGGTGAGTCAGGCTGAAGCCCGGCTGCCCACTGGCTGGGCAAACGGCCTGCAGAAATGTTTACTGAAACGGGAATAATTCCACACAAAACCCAGTCTTCTGACTCCCTTGGAGTGAAATGAGAAGGTCCCTCCAGGTCCCTCCTATACAGCAACCATTTCCCCGTGGGGAACAGAGGTGCCTCCAAAGACACCACAGTCCCAGCACCCCTGTTGCCTGCCTAATGCGAGGCCATGTCTCCCATGGGCATTCCCTTCCTACCCCTATTGGCAATGGAGTTCGTGCCCCTCGGGTAAGCTCCGCAGGGCCGGGCACTGTGGCCCCACGGCTGGGACGCACTCACCCTGCCAGGATGTCCACGGTGACGGAGAAGCCGATGGAGAACGGTGCCAGCGGGCCCTGCGTCTTCTCATTGATGGCGCCCATGCAGACAGCCAGCGCCAGCAGCGTGGTCAGGACGACCTCTGCCAGCACGGCCCCCGCCACCTGCCCCGGCTCCTGGACCGTCACAAAGGCTGCCCCAGACGCGTTCCAGAACCTGTCGCCAGGACTCACCGCCTGTGGAGAGAAGCCGCTCAGCCCCGCAGGGTGAAGAGGGGGCCAGGAGCTCATGCCCCCCCATAGGGAGGGGTTACAGTCACACCGTCCGCCCACAGCCAGCTCCACCATTCCCACCATGCGGCCGTGTGTGAGCTATTGGGCTTCTCAGAGCTCGCTTTGCTCATCTGTAAAATGGGGATGACCCAGCTGTGGGTCCAGTGGGCCTGAAGCTTCTGTAACTTAGATGATCCTCTTTGACAAAAGAATACAAAAATCCCTTATTTTTACAAACTTTGCAAATACACATGACCAGGACATTGCTAACCCATGAAAGGTCCCTTCAAAGGGGCATGGAGAGCCCCGAGGCTTAAGCGCCATGGGATTCGAGGAAATCAGCCTGAGAGGCCGTGGCAGCACCAGGAGAGGGAAGACAGCAGAGCGGACCACACTTTGGGCCCTGGACCCGAATCTGGGCTCTGCAGCTCGCCAGCCCTCCGACCTGGGCAAGGTACCCACTTCCCTGCATCTCGTTTCCTCCTCCATAGAATGGGGATAACGACAGCTGCGCGCCCAGGTCCTGGGCGCCCTCCAGGGACTGACCTGGCCTCTGGTGAGGTGGTTGGGAAATGGAATGAGCAGGGCGGGCAGGTGTGTGCGGGACTGAGCAGGGCGGGCAGGTGTGTGCGGGACTGAGCAGGGCGGGCAGGTGTGTGCGGGACTGAGCAGGGCGGGCAGGTGTGTGCGGGACTGAGCAGGGCGGGCAGGTGTGTGCGGGACTGAGCAGGGCGGGCAGGTGTGTGCGGGACTGAGCAGGGCGGGCAGGTGTGTGCGGGACTGAGCAGGGCGGGCAGGTGTGTGCGGGACTGAGCAGGGCGGGCAGGTGTGTGCGGGACTGAGCAGGGCGGGCAGGTGTGTGCGGGACTGAGCAGGGCGGGCAGGTGTGTGCGGGACTGAGCAGGGCGGGCAGGTGTGTGCGGGACTGAGCAGGGCGGGCAGGTGTGTGCGGGACTGAGCAGGGCGGGCAGGTGTGTGCGGGACTGAGCAGGGCGGGCAGGTGTGTGCGGGACTGAGCAGGGCGGGCAGGTGTGTGCGGGACTGAGCAGGGCGGGCAGGTGTGTGCGGGACTGAGCAGGGCGGGCAGGTGTGTGCGGGACTGAGCAGGGCGGGCAGGTGTGTGCGGGACTGAGCAGGGCGGGCAGGTGTGTGCGGGACTGAGCAGGGCGGGCAGGTGTGTGCGGGACTGAGCAGGGCGGGCAGGTGTGTGCGGGACTGAGCAGGGCGGGCAGGTGTGTGCGGGACTGAGCAGGGCGGGCAGGTGTGTGCGGGACTGAGCAGGGCGGGCAGGTGTGTGCGGGACTGAGCAGGGCGGGCAGGTGTGTGCGGGACTGAGCAGGGCGGGCAGGTGTGTGCGGGACTGAGCAGGGCGGGCAGGTGTGTGCGGGACTGAGCAGGGCGGGCAGGTGTGTGCGGGACTGAGCAGGGCGGGCAGGTGTGTGCGGGACTGAGCAGGGCGGGCAGGTGTGTGCGGGACTGAGCAGGGCGGGCAGGTGTGTGCGGGACTGAGCAGGGCGGGCAGGTGTGTGCGGGACTGAGCAGGGCGGGCAGGTGTGTGCGGGACTGAGCAGGGCGGGCAGGTGTGTGCGGGACTGAGCAGGGCGGGCAGGTGTGTGCGGGACTGAGCAGGGCGGGCAGGTGTGTGCGGGACTGAGCAGGGCGGGCAGGTGTGTGCGGGACTGAGCAGGGCGGGCAGGTGTGTGCGGGACTGAGCAGGGCGGGCAGGTGTGTGCGGGACTGAGCAGGGCGGGCAGGTGTGTGCGGGGCTGAGCAGGGCGGGCAGGTGTGTGTGGGACTGAGCAGGGAGCCACCACAGCCTTGAGGCCCACAGTTCCTTTCACGG